CCGTCAAGTTCAGGCCTTGCCCTCCTTGGCTTCTGCCCGGGCGGGGCGCCGCGGGGTGCCGAGCGCGCACCCGCACCCTCTCCAGAGCTGGGGTGCCGATTACCTCCAGGGGTGCACAGGGAGAAAGTGGAAGCACTGCTCTCCAGGCCATTCCCCAAGGGCAGGGTTTGCCGAGGGACTTCAGACTTCCGCATCCCGCCCTGCCGGGAACTAGCGAGGACGTAGGTTCTAGGCGCCGAAGAGACAAGTGTAAGCAATTAGAGATCAAGTACTAAGCCTTTATTTAGGCCTGCAGAGGAGGTGTGAGTGGTCTCAGCCAACCTAGTAGCCCTAGTGTCTTTGCAGGAGGGGACTGCTGAGCCTTGAATAATAATGGCTGCCAATTGTGGTCCATTTCCTAAGTGCCTGGCCGAGTGCTGGGTTTCTACATCATTCTCATTAACACGCAAAAATCTCCTAGGGAGGTATTATTAGCTTACTTCAACCATCTTAACTGCCAAATGATAAAGCTAGGACTTGAACTGGGGTTTACCCCCAAAATAAGAGTTGGAAAAGCCCTGATGGGGACAGCTAAAGACGTTTATGGGTTTGAAACATTGGCTAAGCAGACTTGGGAATGGAAGTTAGCCTATGTGAACTTGATGTCATTGATTTTCCTTGAAATACTTCCCTCAAGACTTCCAGGACTGCATAAAGGCCTAATTCTTCTGGGCTCCTGGCCCCCTGGCCTTCACTGGAGTACCCCAGAGCTTAGCCCACCCACCTCTGTTCTGTCTACCTTCCTTCCTCTCCTCCACCCTCAAGGTTCAAGGACCTGACTGCCGCGTTTTCTGTCTGCTGGCACAGGCTCCCTCATTCAGGCATTGCCCAGTAGCTCAAGGCCCAAACCAGGCATCCTCATTCCTCAATGTCCTTACCTCCACTCCTTTGGAAATAGCACTGTCTTTACCTTGGAAACACTTTCTTACTACCACCCTGGTCCCAGCCACCAACATCTGTGCCCCAATAACTGCAGTTGCCTCCTTAGTTATCCCCTTCCTTCCTCCTTAGTCTCATGTCACCACGTCAACTAGAGTGAACACCTGAAAATGTGAGTCAGGTCATTTTAACTCACTGCAATGTCTGCAGGGTCTGCCCTGCTTGCCCCTCTGATCGCTTAGCTCCTCCTCCTCTCCTTTCCCGAGCCAACTCACCCAGCTCCGTCTGCTGCCTTGTTGCTACTGGCCTGTGCCTGCCACCTGGGAATGTTTCCACTAGGCTCTTCCCTTTGCTCAAATTCACCACCTCCATCTTATTTAAATTGTCCTCTTCCCCGTAATGTCCTACCCTGCTGCACTCTGTAATCCTCTACTCTTTACTTTTTCCATGGTGCTTCCAATATACTGGATAGTCATTGTCTCCATGTTACAACGGAAGCTCCATGAGGCCAGGGCGTCTGTGTACTTTGTGTAGCCACTGGCTTATACAAGGTGTAGAATACATCTGTTGAGTTAATCATGAAGATGCTTCTGTATTGCCAAAAAAACATATATATATATGATAAACATAAGGGATAATCGCCCTGGCTGGTGTGGCTCAGTTAGTTGGGAGTTCAAGTTACCAGTCAGGGCACATACCCAGGTTGCAGGTTCAATCCCCGGTCGGTCAAGGTGGGTGCAGGGGGCAACCAATTGATGTCTATCTCCCTCCCTCTCTCTAAAATCAATTAAGAAAAGGGGGACAATCAGCTTTTTAAGTAGTTGGGCGCCAACTATATAAAAAGCACTTTGTTCATCTCTATGACACCTGTAACTCTTCATAGTGTTTGTGTATGTGCATGCTGTGTCATAGTCTGCGACCCCGCGAGCATGCTGGGGGATTGAGTGTACTGAGGTGAGAACCAGACATGGTGCTCTCGGTTTCTCTGGGGCCCGGTACTCCAGGCACAAAGCTTTTGTGGGTATTAGATGAGCTGATCAGCAGGAGCTCCCTTCGTAACCTGTTCTTTCCATCGTGCACGCTGCTCTGTGGCTGCATGTGCGTTGCCTTCTGGGGTGAATGATGTTTGCAGATAGGTTGTTTCAGGTGTTTGGTGGGCAGCCTGGACTCAGATACCCACACAGAGCACTCCTTGGGGCCCAGATGGGCAGGGGGTCGACAGTTGGTGTGTTTGTGTTCTCACACGTCCTCTGCCTTCGTAAATGCTGTTGCAGGACATGAGAGCTCTGCAGAAAGACCTCGAGCAATTCGCCAAGCTCCTGAAGCAGAAGAGGATCACCCTGGGATATACCCAGGCCGATGTGGGGCTCACCCTGGGCGTTCTCTTTGGTGAGTCCCCCTTAGCATGTTCTGACCCATAGAACACAGGGACCACACATCCCTGGAAGGAACAGCCTTGAACTTGGGCCTTTCTATCAAAGGAGTGAGGGTCAGGCTCTACCCTCCCCATGAGGAGGGGGAAGATACTTGGGCCTTAAACTTACTCTTGGAAGATGTAAGATCCTGGTATGGGACCTTGTAAGGGCCGCTGGGTCTTGGGGTCACGAGGGCCCTGCCTCATCTTGCTTCTCTTTCGACCCACCTCCCCAGGGAAGGTGTTTAGCCAAACGACCATCTGCCGCTTTGAGGCTCTGCAGCTCAGTTTGAAGAACATGTGTAAGCTGCGGCCCCTGCTGCAGAAGTGGGTGGAGGAAGCTGACAACAATGAGAACCTGCAGGAGGTGAGGGTGGGTGGGGTGCACAGGGACCTGCTGTGCCTCGGTCCTGTGTCCATTGCTTCCATCCCTGGCTGGCAACTCTGCTTCTTGAGGGCAGTAGCCCTCCACGGGTGAAGGGGGGATTCCTCAGTGCTGCTGGGATAAGGTGCAGCTGCTGGTCTAAACCTGCTCTTGCAGGGTCCTCCTTTCTCATACCGCCCAGCTCTGGGGACACATGCCGTCAATGCCTCTTTGCAATTTGCTCTTGAGTCACTGACTTTGTGGTGCTGTTGCTCAGCAGGCTTGAAGCTTGCCCTCCCATCTCTTCCTTGTCACCTCCCCACCTGCCCAGATATGCAAAACAGAGACCCTCGTGCAAGCCCGAAAGAGAAAGCGAACGAGTATTGAGAACCGAGTGAGGGGCAACCTGGAGAACATGTTTCTGCAGTGCCCGAAGCCCACCCTGCAGCAGATCAGCCACATCGCCCAGCAGCTCGGGCTGGAGAAGGACGTGAGTGTCTGTCCCCAAGTGCTCCGTGTCCTCCTCCCTTGTCCCCACACCCTGGCCCTAGCCTACCCTCCAACTGCTTTAGATCTGTGGGTTTTGGGCCAAATGATGACTACTAGAGTTGATGAGCGAGTCACTCTCCTTGTGTCCCCCACTCCCAGGTGGTCCGAGTGTGGTTCTGCAACCGTCGCCAGAAGGGCAAAAGATCAAGCAGTGACTATTCTCAACGAGAGGATTTTGAGGCTTCTGGGGCCCCTTTCTCAGGGGGACCAGTATCCTTTCCTCTGCCACCAGGGCCCCACTTTGGTAGCCCAGGCTATGCAGGCCCTCACTTCACTACACTGTACTCCTCAGTCCCCTTCTCTGAGGGTGAAGCCTTTCCCTCTGTGTCTGTCACCACTCTGGGCTCTCCCATGCATTCAAACTGAGCTGCCTGCCTTCCCAGGACAGGGGAGAGCGAGGGAAAGAACCCTGAGAATTGTCCCAGGGCTTTGGGATTAGTCCTTCCTTCACTGCAGCATTGGGAGCACAATGGTGTGGGGGCAGGGAGTTTGGGGAACTGGTGGGAGGGAAGGCGAAGTTCAGTGATGCTCTTGATGTTAATCCCCACATCACTTATCACTTTGATCTGAAATAAAGTAGCCTGGGACACAGTAGGTAGATACTTTTGTCTTTGATTTCTACTCCTCGTTACTGAAAGGGTGTGGGGATACCTGATGGAGTATAGAACAGCTGTCAGAGCCAAACCCTGAAGCCAAAGTGCTGAACCTGCTCCAGAGTCACACTGGCAGGGAGAGCTGGGCCTGGAGCCAGGTTCATTTGTGGGGCCCTTGGAGGCATGAGCCTAGGGTCCCAGGGAATTTGAGTTGAACATAATTTTGCCCACAGATGTGGTTACTGCCCATTCCCTACCGGGAGCTGGCTTTTTGCTTTCCCCATTCTACTTTGGAAGTTTTCAGTGATGTTATACTATGAAATCAAGTCTTTAGAGAACTTATTTCTTCTGCATAGACCCGCAGCTTGTGCTTTCTTGACGCCAGGGTCTGTTTGGTTTCCCTTTAAGGTTTTTACCTGCCCTGTCCATGAGTGACTCAGCAGACCTCTCACGCTTTAGTCCTGGCTCTACTGCTGCCCCACCGGGGTCCTTGCTCTGGAACTCTTTCCCCTGTGGATAAACCGGGTTGGTAAGCCAAGATAGCAGTAGAAAAAGGGGATGGACATAGGTATCAAGATAAGGTTTTCCTGGAAACACTGCTTTGACAGGGTATTGGCCTGGTGTGAGGCTCAGAGCAGAAAATCAATATACCACAGGTGAGCTGGGCTGACACAGGACCAGGCCAGCACCTGGTCTCGCTGGTTCACCGGGTTTTCTCTTCCCTGAGAGCACAGGCACACCTTCTTTTATCGCACCTCACAGATGTATTTTTTCAAGTCAAGGCAAGACCCTCCACCAGTAAAATGATTTTGGCTCACTTGATTGTGGTGGTCTGGAACAGAACCCACAATATCTCTGAGGTAGGCCTGTGCTGGGGAAACTTGTAAAAGTTCTACCATCTACATGGAACTGACCAAACCCCAGCTACCTAATTCTAAGGGCAGTGGATGTTTCCTTTTAAACTAGAACCCTTCATTACCTGGGCTTCTTTTCTGCTCATCTCCCCTCCCCTAAGAATTCACATTTTCCGAACCTTTCCAAGTCCATTCTCCTAAGAATTGGAAAGCAAGGAGTATCAGGCCCACAAAGAAAGAACTACCTAGCAGTACATGAATATTCTCATTCTTTATTTGAAAATGGAAACAAATCTCTGAAAAGCCAGGCCACAATAATGGTCAGTGGTAGGATTAGAGTTTGGGAGCTGTGTCCTAGGTTTTCCCAGATGTCTTACATGGTGCCATCCAAGTTGAGAACTTGGCTCGTTTGGGTCTGGGTCTCACATCTTCCAGTCATGGATGGTCTCTGCAGTTGATAAGCACTCTGATCAGACATTCTAGTGTCCATGACAGTAGGATCTATGACTTGTAACAGGGAATTTCCAGCTCACTAGCAACTTCCTGAAGGCAGTATTATCCATGGCAGGAAACCATCTCTTCTGTCACCTTGGCCATGAGGGCCTGTTTCAGACCTTGAATTCATAGCAGTGGACCCTGCCCTGTAGTCATTCCCTCCTGAGGAGGCAAGGGAAGAAGAGGCATTTCTTAGGATCCACTAGTGTTCCACGGTGTCCACCTGTGGCCAACAGGAGCCAGCTCTATCCTCTGGCCCCTCGGTGGTGGCCTTCGGTCTGGACGCCCACGACACCCTGGGCACCGGAAGTCAGCCTCCCTGGCAGCCTGGATGCTGCAGCCAACACAGGCCACATGGAACCAGAGGTCACATCCATCACATTGAACCCAAGCCACTGTCTCTTCTTGGGGTAGGCAGCAACAAGGGGCTGCACAGGGCTCCCTGCCCCCAACCACATGGGGAGTCACATGGGTGCTCACTGGGTGCTTCGGAGGGTGCTCAAGTAGATTTCTGAAGAAAGTGACAAAAACCAGGGTCACTGAAAACCTGTAGGAGAAGCTTAGACCTTTCCCCTGGAGGATAATAGTGAACCCAATTAGACTCACTAGACTAAAGGTGAACCTGATTAGTAGAACTGAACTGTCCACTGCCCAGCCCCAGCCCCAGCCCCAGCAGGGGCCACCTCCCAACCGGAGGCTCTAAAAAGGAATCAAAAGGCAGTGAAATACTGAGACAGTGATCTCTCCACTTACCCACCGGGTGTCAGTGGGGTCTTCTCTACACAGAGTTTCTTCCTGGACTCTCTAAGGACTGGGGGGCTCTCAGGAGCCTCTCTTTCGTCATCTAATTCTGCCAACACTCGGTGAGCTGATTTCCTCCGATTTCTTGGGGTTGGGGCAGAAGGGGTGGTCCCCCTTTCCCCATGGTGAGTATGAGGAGGCAGGCTCTGTGGCCTACCCCCACTCCTGGAGAAGGTGAGGGGCTGGGACTGGAGCTTGCTGAGGCTGCCAATGGAATTGAGGATCAGTGTGGCTTTTGGTGCAGGGGACAGGTTGCTGAGGGGACGCTGTGGAGCCCCCTGGGGAGGCAGCATGGGCCGGAAACCAGTCCCAGTTCCCTCTTCTACCCTAGATCTTGGGATGGTAATGGCAGCAAAATCTTGAGGTTTGACTCGGACTTGCTGAAACATGAAGTAGAACTCCGAGGGACTGGTTCCTGGGGGCCCTTCAGGGCCAAAGGTCAGAAGGTCACCATCGCTCAACTCCAGCCTGTGACCCCTTGGGAGTCGGACATTGTTGACCAAAGTCCCTGTTGATGGTGGGGCACCAGACAGACACAGGGAATGACAAAAGCAATGACCAGTTAGTAGTGGAACAATCTGGCCCTACCTGATTTTCTGGGGAATATGAGAAAGAACATGACACTTGTCACCAAATTCTCTTATTCTGAGTCCCTCAGCAGGTGATATCAGATACTAAGCTCTTTCTGAGCTGGGAACAAGTTTATTTCTTATGCCCTCTCACAGAACATACGGAGGGAACAGACCCCTTCCTCACTGGACTGAGGTCCAGTTCTCAGACATGCTCAACTTTATTCAGCTTCAACTCAGCATAGCTCAGACTCGGTTCCGATCCTGACTCCACTTACCAGCTCTGACTCTGGACAAGTTAACCTCTTTGTGCCTCACTTTTCTTGTCTGTAAAGTGGGGATGTTAATGCTCACCTACATTCAATGCATTTAAAACAGTGCCTGGCTCAACAGGAAACACTAAATGAATACTGGCTATTAATCCCATACACTCCCCAAACAGACCTTACAAAGTCTTCCATTTTACCTAAGAGGAAACTTAAGAGCCAGAGAAGTGAAGTGACAGGCCTGAGGCTGGCTGTGACCAATTCCACATCAGGGAGTAAGACACATGCTCATATCATTAAAACAATTCATATCCTAACTGCCCCAAGACAGGAACAAGGTACCTCAGCAAAGTCTGGAAACAGTCAAGTTTGAACTTGGGGCACCCCCAATGGCCACAGAACATTGATATTTCTCTGATGCTGCCCTAGGCTCTGGCACCACCTCCCAGCCCCTGCATGCTTCTGGTGGAAGGACAGGTCCAGACGTCCCTGTCCAGCCAACCTGATAGGGAGGGTTCCCGTGGAGTCCCTTGTTCTAGCCCCAAACTGCTCACTGCTCACCTTGGCTGCTGTGGTCCTCCAGGCTGACCCTCCAGTCATCACCCTGGCGTTCAGCGTGCAGTTCCGCATGGACTCCAGAGATGAGGCCAGGCTCCTGTTGGGGCCGCAGGGCCACATCACACAGGTCAGCCCTGCAGCCCAAACGATAAGTGCAGCCTGTCCCGCTTGGGGGGTGGAAAGTGTAGAGGTCACCGCCCCTGCCGCCCCCTATGCGCAGCAGTTGGAAGCAGGGCAGCATGGGCAATGCCCGCTCCACACCACCTCTTCTACTTCAGGAATCCATCATTTCTCCCACTCCTGAGCCACGCACGGTGGCCTAGGTTCACTTTCCTTCCGGTGCAAGCTTGAGCTATGCTTTGTGCAATTTCAACTGGGCAGTCCCTCAGCAGTGCAAATCCAGAGTTCAAGGGTCCTAGGCAAGCGATGCAAAACTGGCTTGATGTCAAGTAGCTTCAAAGCTGAAAAATTCGGGAAGGTCCCAGGGCTGTGCAGAAACGAATACGTCCTGTGGCACCTTGGGTGAATTGGGTCCTCAGGCCGCAAAATATTCCGGGAGCCTTCAATCTGTGCGAGGCAACATACCATTAGGCAGCTTTTGAGAAACTGCAAACTAGTAGTAGTGTGTAGGGTGGAGGGCTCCTAACTTGTCACCTCAATAACACTGGGAGAAAATAAGCTTTCTCCTGTCCTATGTTTATCCAAATAGAGTAGCCAGCCCTCCTGCTCGCCCCGCGCCTCACTCTTCTGGCCAACCCCTCACAACTAGTTAGCTTGAATTCCAGTGGGAAGTGACTGCACTGTCACCTCCAAAAAGGCAAACGACTCTACATTCTACAAAAAACGATCTAATCCCCAGCTGCCCGGCTTCCCCAGTTGGGACAGAAACAGCTTCCCGAGACCATGCAAAGCAAAACCGGCCTCCTCCCCGCCCGCCCCAGCCCAGCGTCGGATCTACCGCACGGTGCACTGTCAGAATGGTCTCTCCAGGCAGCGCGGTGTCCGGCACCCTCGGGCTCCGGCCCTGGCCGTCCCTCCGCAGCTGTTTGACAGCGAGAAAGCCGGGCGAGGAGGGGCGCGGCCACCGCGCGCGGGCAGCGCCGACCCCGCCTTCGGAATTCCCGGATCCGAACTTCGCGCCAGCGAGCCCGCCCCCGTGCAGTTTCTGATTGGTCAGCTTCTATATCCTCCTCCGTCCCATTGGTCGGGGTCCTTCATGTTCCGCCCTTGGCCTTTTCCGATTAGTTCACAAGTTTTCCCGGGTTCCCTGAGTTGGGAGGAGCCGCCAGGGCGCGGAGATACCCAACGCCATAATTGGCTTGGTTTTAGACACTATTGCGCCTGCGTGCACCTCTTTTCCTCCCTTTTCCGGGGTAAAAACGGGCTTTTGAGCTTCCCGCCACCGGGCGCGCTCTGCGCAGGCGCGATCAGGGGCGGAGGCCGGCTCGCAGCGCGGTGCAGGGGGTGTGGCCAAAGGGCCAGGTGGGCTCTCGCGCTAGGTGAGGATGCGTTCGCGAAGCGTCGGTTGGGGGCGGAAGGGGCGGAAGGGGCTGAGCGGGGGCCCGGGGGTGGGTTCCGGGCCCGGGTTTCGGGGCCCGTCGGGGAAGAGGGGGACTGGGGCAAGGTGAAGGAACAGCGAGGTGGTCAGAACAGCCCTAGAGCTCAGGGTCTGGGAGGGCGAAGACCGGGTGGCCGGGGAGTGGAGGGACTGAGCCGCGGAGCGCGGGGAGGCGAGAGCAGGCTGTTGAGAGATGAGGGTGAGAGTGAGGGAGCAGGGCGATGCCTTCAGGGAAGAGGCAGGTTAGGGTGCCGGGAGGGAGGGCGGCAGGAATCCCAAGGTGGGGGAGGAAATAGGTGCATCTGGGTGGCAGGGTGGGAGACCTTGAAGAGCCTCTGTGCTGTGGGACTCTGGAGAGAGGCGGGTGGGCGACGGGCGTGGCCAGACGCTGAGAGGAGCGTGCTGGAAGGGTTTGGGAGCGATGTCCGGGAGTCCGTTTTTCTGCCCAGCGACCTAAGCTGCCTGGATTCCCAGGGCCCTGCGGAGCCGTCCTGCCCGACATGCGGCCACATCCATCTGGGGCCAGGCCTTGGGCCAGCGCTTTAGTAGGAAGGGGCCCAGGGGCCCTGGCTTGGGGGTGTGTGGACGGGCTTCCCCGCGGCCTCGCTGAGCCCTGGACGGGGCTCTGGAGACTGCGCTCGCAGCCCCTGCACTGCGTGCCTCCTTTCTCACCTGCGACCAGGAATGGCAGAGACTGTAGACACTTGAGGAGGAGGGTAAAGGCACTGCCCAGACCCCGAAAGTTTGAGTTAAGCCTAAGAGCTCCCTCTCAGCCTGTCCCGTAAATTCCCTTCCCCTCATGGTTATTGCCGGAGTTCTGTCAGGAACCAGGTGGGTGAGCAAGTGGTCTTGGGTATTTCCTACTTCTTCTGGGAAGTGGGAACAGAGGAACGTAGAGTCCGGTGGATCTGACTGTTCTTTGAGGATTATGACTTTGTTATGTTAGGGCTTTCTATTTGGAAGGTGGCCTGAAAATTGAATTGCAGTGCCCTTGTTTCTCCTATTGTCCAGGGGAACATAGATGGCTGGACACAGAATCTAGAGAGTTCAAATAATCTGGAGATGTTTCAACCTTCAGGTTAGTGGGACCTGGTTAGGGGGCTGGTGATGGTCTCTCCCTGGAAAACTGACCATCTTTGTCCTTGTGATTCCTCAGGTTCCACTGGGCTCATCCCCCCATCCCACTTCCAAGCTCGGCCCCTTCCAACCATGCCAAGAATGGCTCCCACTTGGGTGTCAGACATTCCCCTGGTCCAACCCCCGGCCCATCAAAATGTCTCAGAGAGGCAGCCAGACATCCAGAGACCTCAAGTGATCATGTGGGAACGGGATGTTTGTGGCGATGGGCAGGAGCCAGGACGGAGAGGCAGGTAGGAGGTCCACTGTCACTGCTTTCTCAGGCACTTCCGAGTGACCCGTCTTTACTGAAATAGATTCCTTACCCTGTTTCAGACCTTAGTTCCATAATTTGTTTATTTTTCCATAGCAATTATTGGTGCCTACAATGCATAACTAATAATAAAAGCATGCTAGACGCTAGGGATGATAGCAAAAACAGAAGAAATCCTCATATCAAGGAATTTAAAATCCTAAGGGAAGAGACAGATTGACTAAGACAAGATGAAGAATCAAATTGGGGCAAAGCACTGTGCTAGTGTGGACTCCTGACGAGTCTGCGTTGTTGGAGCTGGCCATGCTATCTGTCCATGTGTTGTGTGTAAAGCTGCTGCTGCTTTTTTTAAAAATATTTTTTTCTTTATTGATTCTAGAGAGAGAGGAAGGGAGAGGGACAGAGAGAAACATCGATGGGAGAGAACATTGACTGGCCGCCTCCTGCATGTCCCCCACTGGGGATTTGGCCCACAACCTAGGCATGTGCCCTGACCGGGAATCGAACTGGTGACCTCTCAGTGCATGAGATGACACTCAACCCACTGAGCCACACCGGCCAGGCAAAGCTTATTCTTGATGTTTCCTGTGTGTCTTTTCCCTGGTGAACTGGCATGTTGTGTGCCATTGTGCTCTAGAGTGGGATTGTGGATGGATCTACCCTGGACCCCATCGAAAAGGAAGGAGCATGATGATGAAATGGGAAGCAGGTGTCAAGAGATAGAGACTCTGTTCTTAGTTTGACTGCCAGCTACGGGTCCTGTGTCTGTTCATTTAATTTCTGTAGGCTACAGTTCCCTGCTTTAAAAAAATATCCTGTGGTTCTGGGCCTCAGTGAGGGAGCTGTGCCAACAGCCATGTTATAGCTGCTCTAAACTTTTTGTAACACTGGGGACTACGTAATTGATTGGTGTGCTGTCCTCTCAGCCCCCTCATCCGGGTGCCTTACACTGAGTAAACTCTCAGCCAGTACCTGGCCTCTCCATATTGATACTGGAAGCCATGAGGTTGCTTTCTCCACATCTCCTCAACTTCTCCTTGCCCTGAAGTCAGGATTCAGAAGTCCTTGTGTGTACTTCCAACCTCTTCAGTTCAGAATGTATGGCCTGATGATGTGTACAGTTGCTGTTAAGACATTGGCTTGTATATAGCTCTCTCTAGAGGAGTGATTTTCAACCTTTTTCATCTCATGGCACACATAAACTAATTACTAAAATATATTTTTTTGCCGATCTAGCAAAAAAAAAGGTATAATTTTGATTGGTTTACAAAAAAAAAGTAATAGTAATTACCTACACTTTTTGCTCCAAAGTGACTTTTTAAAAAATCAAGTGACTATACTTGTGTATAAGGATTTCTGATACCAAGAATTAACCAATTAGATGCAACATTGTTATGAGATGTGACCAATACGATACAATTCTATTATATCACCTATATATTTATGGTTCAAGACAGGATTCACACCAGATAGCTTGGCTGTTGTCATTTTTTTGCTTGGCAATCTAAGGGAAAAGAGGTCAGTGTCCCTGATTAAACAGTCAGGTATTACATGTTTTAAAAAGTCCTGTGGGCCCCGCCAGTGTGGCTTACTGGTCGAGCATCGACCCCTGCACCAAGAGGTCACTGGTTCGATTCCTGGTCAGGGCACATGCCCAGGTTGTGGGCCCGATCCCCAGAGGGGGGCATGCAAGAGGCAGCCAATCAATGTTTTCTCATTGATGTTTCACACTCTCTCTCTCTCTAAAATCAATAAAAATAGAAATATATACATAAAAATATTATTGAGGTATACCAGTTGAAAATCACTGCTCTAGAGAGCCATGAGCCCAGACACTAGACCTATTCTGCTTAGTAGGGCCTTGATGAATGACAATGGTGATGGAAATGCAGAGATCCCTATGGCCCACCTTCATCCCCCATCTCCCCACATAGGAGCAGGGGGATGTCTTCTGTGTCTGTTATGCCTGTGGCCACCTTCCCAGACCCTGAGATAGGTCTCACTGGTACTAACCTGTCTTGTAAGGTCTGTGGAGCTGCAGGGGTCGCAGGCCTTGAGCCAGCAGGCAGAGCTGATCTCTCGGCAGCTGCAGGAGCTGCGACGGCTCGAGGAGGAGGTCCGAGTCCTGCGGGAGACCTCGCTGCAGCAGAAGATGAGGCTGGAGGCCCAGGCCATGGAGCTGGAAGCTCTGGCACGGGCAGAGAAGGCCGGCCGAACTGAGGCTGAGGGCCTGCGTGCTGCCTTGGCCGGGGCCGAGGTTGTCCGGAAGAACCTGGAAGAGGGGAGCCAGCGGGAGCTGGAGGAGGTTCAGAGGCAACACCAGGAGCAGGTGAATGTGGGGGTGGGAAGAGCTCAGCTTTACAGTGGGGATCTGGGCTGTGGCTTCCCAGCAGAGAGCCCCCATAAGCAGTGGGGTGATGAAAAGCATGACCTGGAAAGAGGGAGACTTTTGTGTTTTGGTCTTATTCAGATAGCTCTTTTTTTTTTTATCCTCACCTAAGGACATTTTTCCCTTTTTTTTTTTTTTTGTGGTACGTTCACCTAGCGGGAACCAAACCTGGGACTCTCTGGTCTGCGGGCCGACGCTCAGCCGCTGAGCCAAACTGGCTATTTTCCCATTTTTTGTTCAGATAGAGTGGGAGGGGAGAGAGAGAGAGAGAGAGAGAGAGAGAGAGAGAGAGAGAGAGAGAGAGAGAGAGAGAGAAAGAGAAAGAGAGAAAGAGAGAAAGAGAGACATCGACGTGAAAGGAACACATTGAATGGTTGCCACCCGCACGACCCAACCAGGGCTGGGAACAAACTGCAACCGAGGTACATGCCCTTAGCAGAAACCAAACCTGGGTCTCTCTGGACCGCAGGACGATGCCCTAACCACTGAGCCAAACCGGCCAGGGCTCAGATTGCTCTTGTTCCCAGGACTCAGATGACCGCCCACCACCTGAAGCCCTCTTTCCCATTCCAGTAGAAAGTAGTTTGTCTTCTTGCTTCACTCTGGTTACCCAATTCACCTGGCAGCACTGGGGAAGGAGGGGTGACTTATGGTGGACTAGGAAGGGGACCTGGTTGGTTGGTGAGCATCTATCAGTGCTTATTCTTTCATCCCTGAGACAGGAGCTAGGCCTCTGGTGAGCACATCATGAGTCCCTGCCCTCCTGGGTGCAAGTGGCAGCCTATGGGGGGCACACATTCAACACTTGATTTAATCCTAAGTAGTTGCCTGCAATTGGAAGAAGTGCCGTAAAGAAGGACGTGAAGAGGGAGCTTTAAGCTAGTGGGGAGTTAGGAAGGTTACCCTAATCAATCAACATGTTAAGAAACCATGAAGATACTGGAAAAAACCTGGGTGAGTTCCTTGTAACCTTGAATGGGAAGATCTTTACATATGAGTCAAAATCCAGAGCCACATTTTGGCTGGTGTTGCACAGTGGTTAGAGAGTTGACCCTCACACCGAAGGGTCTCGGGTTTGATTCCAGGTCAAACATACGTTCCTGGGTTGTAGGTTTGATCCCCAGTCCTGGTTGGGGCATGAGCAGGAGGCAATCAATTGATGTGTCTCTCACATATATTTTTCTTTCTCTTCTTCAATGGAAAAAATACCCTTTGGTGAGGATTAACAAACAAAAATCCAGAGCCATTAAAAAAAGATTGGTACGTTGACTTTATAATACTAAACTTAGGCATGACCATAAAAGTAAACTAAAGACAGATGATAAACTAGGAAGAATATTTATAGCTCATATCACAGGAAGAGGCTTATATCCCTACTGTATAATGGGTGCCTAGAAATTGGTAAGGGTAGACATCAATCCAGCCAGAGATAGTTCAGAGAAAAAAATAAGTGGTCTTTAGATTCACAAAAGATGTCTAATGATAAGAAATGACATCTGTTCTGAAGAAGATGGATGGTGAGGCGTGTGGGGTGGCAGTGGGAGCTGCTGTGACACCGGGCAGCACGCGGGACAGGAGGCAGGCAGAAGGGCTTGAGTGCAGGAGCTGAGGGGCTCTGGGTGGTCATGTGAACTGCGAGGCCTTGGGCCCATTTAAAATAACATCTTAAGCAACCAGTGAAAGGTTTAAAATAGAAATGACATTATCAGATCTGTGATTTATGTCCAAAAGGATCACTCTGGTCCTGGCCGGTTTGGCCCAGCGGTTAGAGCATCGGCCCGCAGACCCGAGAGTCCCAGGTTCGGTTCTCACTAAGGGCATGTACCTTGTGTCTCACATAGATGTCTTTCTCTCTTCCTCCCTCTCGCCCTCTCGCTCTATCTGGGAAAAAGAAAAGATCACTCTGACTGGCATGGAAATCGGGCGAAAGGGGACAGATTGGAGATGAGGGCAGCCGCGTCCCTCTTCCCTGTCTGTCCCATGACTCCCTCAGTGTCCCTGACAACACTGAGGTGCAGCCAGAAAAGGCAAGCTTCCTATCTTCCTAGGGCTTCCTTTCAAATGGCTGTGGCAGACAGCAAGGTAATCTCCGGTGACAATAAGTGCCGGAGAGCCAGGGACAGGTGGCAAGGCAGAGCAGTGGTGGGTAGGGATTGGAGGGCCTCGGGAGGCCTTCCCGAAGAGGTGGCATGTGGAGTCTGAGGAGAGCCATAGGAGATGGGCTCAGAGAAGTTGGTAGAGGCCAAGGCATGGGGTGGGGGGCTTCACGGCTGAGGGAAGAAGCTGGGTTTTGCTCAGAACACCATGTTGAGCCCTGATCAGGAGATTGTTGCTGTTGTCCAGGCCAGAGGTGAGGTGGCCTACCTCAGGCGGAGAAAAGTGAAGATATGATTTGGAGGAAGATCTGACAGGAACTGCTGGTGAATTGGAGCACGATGGGGGAGTAAGGCTCCAGGGATGGCCCCATTTGCTGTGTATCAGTGGGTGATATTGAGTTGTCTAAAGTTATGGGAAGTGCCCTGGCTGGTTTGGCTCAGTAAATAGAGTGTTGGCCTGCAGACCAGAGAGACCTGGGTTCGGTTCCCACTAAGGGCGCGTACCTCGGTTGCAGTTTGTCCCCAGCCCTGGTTGGGTCATACAGGTGGCAGCCACTCGATGTGTCTCACGTCGATGTTTCTCTCTCTCTCCTCTCTCTCTCTCTCTCTCTCTCCCTCCCACTCTTATCTGAACAAAAAATGGAAAAAATGTCATTGGGTGAGGATTAAAAAAAATAATAAAGTCATGGGAAGTGGGAGGGGACAAGGTCAGCAGGGGGAGATTTGGAAGCCCAGTGTGGAGATGAGCTGGCCCCTACTGAGCCCCTCTCTCTGCAGCTGTCCTCCTTGACTCGGGCTCACCAGGAGGCTCTTTCCAGCTTGACCAACAAAGCTGAGGGCTTGGAGAAGTCTCTGAACAGTCTGGAAACCAGGAGGGCAGGGGAAGCCAAGGAGCTGGCCATGGCCCAGAGGGAGGCCGAGCTGCTGAGGGAGCAGCTGAGGTAAGTGGGTGGGTAGCCCAAGAGGGCCCAGCAGGTGGTGGGTGGGGCAGGTCTCCAGGGTGTCCCACTGATGGCTACCCTATTCCTACCCTAATCCTAGCAAGACCCAAGAAGACCTGGAGATTCAGGTGACCTTGGTTGAGAACCTAAGGAGATATGTAGGGGAACAAGTTCCCCCCGAGGCCCACAGCCAGACATGGGATTCAGAGCGACTGGAGCTTCTAGGGACTGTGCAGGTGAGAGTGGGGGTGTGGTGCGTCTGCGCAGGCGGGGTGCCAGGGCCTGGGAGGGCAGGGTGCAGTGGTGCTCTCCGCCCTGTCCTGCTGGCAGCACTTGCAGGAGGACCGGGAAGGCCTGCACGCCACGGCGGAGTTGCTGAGGGTGCGAGTGCAGAGCCTCACACACATCCTGTCCATGCAGGAGGAGGAGCTGGCCAGGAAGGTAGGTCCCCCACCCCAGGGCCTCCCTGTGGGTGGGAGGGGTGGATGTGACCCTGCTGAGAGCTTCCTTCTCTGCACATATACCTCCTGTTGCTGTGGCTCCTGTTGCCCGGGCGGCACAGAGAAAAACCAAGATGCAGCCTCCTTCCTCTGCTCCCCCAGGAGCCCACACTGTGCCCCCATTCTTCACCCCACAGGTTCAGCCTTCAGATGCTCTGGAGCCGGAGTTTCCCAGGAAGGGCCAGTCCCTGCTGAAGCGCTGGCGGGAGAAGGTGTTTGCCCTCATGGTGCAGCTAAAGGCCCAGGAGCTGGAGCATGGAGCACGTGTGCAGCAGCTGAAGGGACAGGTCGCTTGGCGCTCTTCCTCCCCATGTTCTTTTCCCCAGCTTGCTCTTTACATAAGCGGTGGCATTTATCTAACCAGTATTACTGAGTGACTGTCACATGCTGGGAACAGCCCTTTACAAACACAGAACTTAGGTCCTGGAGCAGACACAACAGGCAGGCAGATAGGTAACATCAAGTAATTCCTTGTGCCCTGGCCAGTTTGGCTCAGCGGTTGAGTGTCAGCCTGCGAACCAGAGAGTCCTGGGTTCGTTTCCCGCTAGGGGCACGTACCGCACACACAAAAAAGTAATTCCTTGTGCTGTGAAGAAAGGGGTGACCCATCACATGACAGACTGAGGGCGGCCTTAGGTAGGATGGTGAGGAACGGCCTCTCTGTGGAGGTAGCGTGGCTGGTCCTCAAAGTGTGGGCACGTGGAACATCCTGTGGAGGGACACTTGGACTAAGACTCCATTCTCAGGAACCCAAGCTTGTCTCCCTGTGTGGTGTTCTCTCACAGACCTCTGCACTTGCCCCTTGGTTCCCAGTGCCCCACCTGCCTCCTCTTCTCCCTCAGGTGGCAGAGCTCCAGGAAAGAGCCACAGCCCAGAGCCAGGAGCAGGCCATCCTGCAGCGTTCCCTGGAAGACAAAGCTGCCCAGGTGGAGGTGGAGCGGATGGGCACCAAGGTCAGTGTCTGTGGCAGGCAGCGGCTAAGGGAGGCCTGGGAAGCCCCGGGTGCATGGGCCAGGGCCCTGGAGAAGGGACCCTTTTATCGTCTCCTTCACAGTCCCTGCAGATGGAGCTGAGCCGTGTGCAGGAAGCCTGGCGCCGGGGGCAGCAGCAGACAGTGGCAGCCGAGGAGCAGCTGAAACTTGTGGCCAATGCTGTCAGCAGGTGTCTGAGATGGGGTGGGTGGGGTAGGATTTCTGCTTCCCCAGCCTCTCAGGCACCTTGGAGTTTAAAAGTCTCAGACAGGAGCGGCCGGGAAGCTGGCCACTGGAAGATGCAGGGCTGGAGGTATTTGGCCCTGTAAGAGTTTCTGTGTTTGTTTTTTCTGGGGCAGCCCCTCCCTGTTCACACCAGCGTCACTGTGACTGCCACTGTGTGTTTGGCTGGAGGTGGGGCATCTTCCCCTGCATTTGGTTCAGTGACAACTTGAGCTGGATAGAGCACTGGGAGGCTCCCACCTTCACAGCTGTTCAGCTGTTCAAGGACTGGGAGTGTGGGGACTTGTTCTTTTTCTTCCCTTTAAAATTGTACAGGCATGCCCTGTTAGTTGGGGGGAAAAATTATCTTAAGCTGCATACTTTATCGGCTTATACATAACACAGTCCATCTAAAATGTATGACAGATTCCTTCTTAATTCAAGCCTGTCTCTCTCATACCAAGTTCCTCGGCATTTCCTTCCCGACTCCTTCTATAACCTTCAGAAGGACCTCCAAGGAGAAACACAAGCTTCTTGGTGCTGGGAAGCACCCTCCTCACCTTGGGCACGGGGACCTGGTGTGGAGCTCTCAGCACTGTGCTGACGTGTCACTGGCTTGTCACCTGTGCTCCGTGAACATTTCCTGCTACCACCCGCCTCTTGATGGGTCACATAACAAAACTGTGATGTAGGACGGGCCTTGCTCAACATCCCCTTCTGTTGGATTTGTACCCTGGGACTAACTGAACTTTAACAAACAATGAAAGGTTTCAAACATGCATGGAATTAGAGGTTGGTTACGATGAGCACCACCCGAGTCCAGTCCGTCAGGCGCGCTCCTGCCTGCAGGGGAGCAGAGAGGCACTGGACAGGGTCTCCTGTGGTGCCAGGACGTCACTGAAATGGGTCTTGCTAATGACTAATTGCCAAAAAGTCCATGAGGCGTAAAACACGCCAAGCTGGGCCTGTTGTCAGATTTGCTGGATAGTCTCTAGGTGGCTAAGAGACCTTATCAGAAAATGGCTTTAATAAGAGCCACAGCCCTGGCCGATTTGGCTCAGTGGTTAGAGTGTCGGCCCACGGACCAAAGAGTCACGGGTTTGATTCTCGGTCAAGGGAATGTACCTGGGGTGCAGATTTAATCCCCAACCCCAGTTGGGGTCATGTGGGAAGCAACCAATCCATGGGTCTCTTACATTGATGTTTCTCTCTCTCTCCTTCCCTTCCACTCTCTAAACGTCAATGGAAAAATATTCCGATTAATCAAAAAAAAAAAAAAAAAAACCACAACAAAAATCAGAGCCACAGAAGGTGTTGAAATCACCCACAGTTTTCAGATAAAAGTGGCCTCTACTGTGCTGTTGGGATACGACCTTCAGCCTTTGTTGTCTGCTTGTCTGTTTATTTGTGTTGGCAAAGACTTGACAGCCCTGGGGAGTTCCAGCCATGCCCCCCACCCAGGCCTGCTTAGACTTCTGGGTCTTTTGAACCATGTTGGTCCTATAGGGGCCACAGCCAGCTGACAGAGGGATGCCCTGGCCTTCACTGGTATTGGGAATAACTGACCCCCCACCCCCACCCCGAGCATGGCACAGGCAGACCTGCAGAGGCGTCCAGGGGCCTGCAGGTGGGAAAGAAAATCAGCTAGAGATGAGCCAGCCTGTGGGCACGCGTCAGCCACACAGACTGTGCTCGCTGCAGCCTTGACTGTGGTGGCATCTGTGCAGGCAAGGTATGCCCCATGAACCTCACGATGGCTTTACTGCGGGGACCCAGAGGAGAAGCTCACTGTGGGCCTGGGTCCCAGGAATGGCTGTGCTTCTGTGATGAGAAACAGGTCATTTTTGTGTGACAGTCACTCGAGGGCTCAGGTCCTCAGATTGTCCTGTTTTATTGGCTGAGGAGCCTGGACACGGCTTGGCTTTAGCTTTTCTTTTCCCTGCTCCAGTTTCCCTCCCCTGTTGCCCCCAGGTCCATTGCAGGATAGGGCAGAGGGAGTTGTCCTTTTGGGAATCAGGTGGGGTTGAAGGGTCAGTGGCCTTGTACCTTCTCTAGCTTTCAGACCTGGCTCCAGAGCACCGTGGCCGAGGTGGAGCGGGCCGCAGCCCGGCTGCCCAGCCTCAGCAGCCGAGTCAGCTATGCTGTCCGCAAGGCACACACCATCCGGGGTGGGTAGGCAACTGCCAGACCAGATCTGCCCTGCCCTGCCTGCCCTGCCCGCCATGCCCCACCAGTTCTCTGACGCCCCTGTCCATCCTCCTGCCTTCTCCTTAGTCTGTGCCTCTTTTCCCCGACTCCTCATCTCCTCTTCCCTCTGCACACTGGGCTGTTGCTGTCTGCCTTTCCCCCCCAGGCCTGATGGCTCGGAAACTGGCCCTTGCTCAGCTGCACCAGGAGAGGTGAAGTCCGGGGCACTGGGAGGTGGATCGGGGAATGGTGGGGGGGCTTTCAGGTGTTGGTTCTGGGACCCAAAACAATAGGCTGAGGCGGGCTGAGGCGGGATGGGGCCCAGAGATCAAACCGCTGAGTGCCCCTCCCTCCGTCTCAGCCACCCCCCAGCCCCACCCACCGAGGATGTGAGCCTTGAGTTGGAGCAGCTACGGGAAGAGCGGAATCGCCTGGATGCAGAAGTACAGCTGAGTGCCCGCATCATCCAGCAGGAGGTGGGCCGTGCCCGGGAGCAAGGTGCGCCTGGTCCTGGGGCCCCTGCCTTCCAGCTGGGGCAGAGCAGAGTTGGGCACTGGGGATGGAGAGGAGGGAAAAGCTGGGTTGAACGCATGGAGAGGCTCAAGGGAGCCTGAGCCCCACCCCTTCCCAGGGGAGGCAGAGCGGCAGCAACTGAGTGAGGTGGCCCAGCAGCTGGAGCAGGAGCTGCGGCGGACCCAGGAGTCCTTGGCTAGTGTGGGGCTGCAGCTGGAGGCGGCGCGCCAGGGCCAGCAGGAGAGCACAGCAGAGGCTGCCAGTCTTCGGCAGGAGCTAACCCAGCAGCAGGAGAGCTATGGGCAAGGTGTGCAGAGGGGGGATGGGTGTGGAGGGCCGAGGACCACGAGCCACGGCTCCCCAGCACATCTGCACCTTCACCCCAGCTCTGCAAGAGAAGGTGGCTGAAGTGGAATCCCGGCTGCGAGAACAGCTTTCGGAAACAGAGAGGAGACTGAACGAGGCTCGGAGGGAGCATGCCAAGGCCGGTGAGGTTTGTGGGTGCACGTGGGCTTCCAGAAATAGGTTATTTAGAAACTTTCTGTAAAGCTTTCTCTGAAGTGTGCAGGTAAGGCCGTTTTCAGGGACCACTGAGTTCTCAGCTGGCGAACATCCAGCCAGTCCCCAGACCAAGTGAGTGGCCACAGAGTGCCTCCCACTGCTTCCCTTCCACAAGGCGACAGCCAGCTGAGGTCTCCCAGCAATGAGTACCCCCACCTCTCCATTAGGAAAGTTTTCAAACCCCTTGCAAATGAAAAGAGGGGTATGCTGAGAACAAGCTGTGCCTCCTGACGGGACGCTGCACCCGTGCTGTGCCTCCTGTGCTCTGCCTCCTGACTGACTGGACGCGGCACCGCGCCATGCGCACATCACATCGCTGGGGGAGCTGCTTGCAGCGAACGGCTGCTGCCCGCCCCTCCTGCGCGAGGGAGCTGTGACCGCCTCAGCACCACTGCCACACTGAGAAACCGCGTGCGAGCCCTGGCCGGTGTGGCTCAGCGGTAGAGCCTCCGCCCGTGGACCAATGAGTCGTGGGTTTGATTCCAGTCAAGGGCACGTACCTCGGTCGCAGTTTGTCCTCGGCCCCGGTTGGGGTCCTGCGGGAGGCAGCCAGTCCATGTGTCTCTCTAATGTCAATGTTTCTCTCTCTCCCTCACACTGTACCTAAAGATAAATAGAAAAATATCCTCAGGTGAGGAAAAAGAAAGAGAATAGGTGTCACACACAACCTAACGTCCAGTCCACACGCAGATCCCCCAGGGGCTCTGGGAAGGCTCGGGTGAGAGGCGCTGTGGTTCGCAGGCCCTGGAGCGCAGCCACCTCTCCCACTCGGGGGAAGGGGCGCGCACAGCGCTGGGGCCGGCGCTCCTGCCCAGCGGTCCAGCCTTGTTTTCACGGTGCCTCCGTCCCTCGCTACCTCTGGGCTCCCTCACACCTGCCCCGCTCAGTGCCCTGTCCCCACAGTGGTCTCCCTGCGCCAGATCCAGCGCAAGGCCACCCGGGAAAAGGAGCGGAACCAGGAGCTCAGGCGCCTGCAGGAAGAGGCCCGGAAGGAGGAGGGGCTGCGGCTGACCCAGCGCCTGCAGGAGCTGGAGAGGGACAAGAACCTCATGCTGGTAGGGAGGCAGGGCCGGGGCTGGTTGGGGAGTGGGGTGTAGGAAGAGGAGGGGAGGCTCTGCCTGGCTAGGTGGCGTTTAATCCTCTCCTTCCCAGGCCACCTTGCAGCAGGAGGGTCTCCTCTCCCGTTACAAGCAGCAGCGACTCTTGGCAGTTCTTCCTTCCCTGAGTAAGGGGAAGTCCGTGCAGTCCAGTCCCAGGCCGGCAGGGTCTTCAGCATCTGGACCCCCAGCAGCAGCACTCTCTCCCGGGAAGACCATACACGGTAATGGTCTAAGTAGGGACAGATAGGGGCATTTCTGGAACCTCTACCCCAGACACTTGAGTGCATGAACCTTGTTCTCTGTGAGCCTTGAAGGCCCTCAGCCTCCTTGATCCACGTCCGCCTTGGACCAGAGAGCCTCCTCCCTCATTACCCTTCTACCCTCTGGCCCTGTCCCCTGGGGTCTCTTTCCAGGATCCCTCTCTGTCCTGCTGGAGGACCTGCAGGGACTGAGTGAGGCCATCTCCAGAGAGGAAGCAGCTTCTCAAGGAGACGACCAGAGCTCTCCTGCTCCGACTGCCATTGAGCAGCCAGGGGCTCGGAGCACCTGGGAGCTCGGGAGGGCCCTGGGGGCCCAGAAGGATCATGGGGAAGTGGGGTGAGGTTTGGGGGCCTGCCCTTGGGGATACCAGCCACCAAGGTGTCTGGATTCTGTGCCTCAATAAAGCTGACTGCAGTCGGAGCCACTGTGTTCACGTTGTCTCTGCGAGTCTGAGGGGCTTCCTGCGCAGCTGCCGCTCCAGGAAACGTGAGCGGTGTCCACACAGCTTTCTCCAGTAGGTTTCTTTTCAAAACCCCTTTCCTAGGTTGCTGGGAAGTTTTTTGAGAAGCTCCACATTTTCTTTTTTTTTTGTCCTCACTCGAGGACATTTTTGCATTTATCTTCAGATAGAGTGGGAGGGAGAGAGGGAGGAAGAGAGAGAGAGAAACATTGATGTGAGAAAGACACACCGGGCCAGGGACAAACTGCAACTGAGGTACGTGCCCTTAGCGAGAACTGAACCCGGGACTCTGGTCCACGGGCTGACGCTCTAACCGCTGAGCCAAACTGGCCAGGGTGCTTCAGGTTTTCTTTATTCTCTAGTTTGAAAAGTCTTTACCTCTGGAAGATGATCAGCACCAGGGTGAGGAAGATGAAACATGAACTCATTTGACAGGCAGCAGCCTCGCTCAGGGCCCCACTGGGGCTTGTGGGCAGGCCCTGCTCCCGGGCACTGATGTCAGTGGCAGAGGTGGGGATGGACAGGTGCCTAAATGGACAGTCAAGCATTTCAAACAAGTTTGATGAAGAGGAAATAAATAACAGTGATGTCACAGAAGCTGACTGGGCTGGGGCCGTGTCAGGTGAGAGGACAGGAAAGGCCTTGGAGGAGGGATGTGGTGCTGAGAACCGAGTGGTCCAGGCTGCACCGCCACTGGGAGGAGGGCCTGCAGGGCGCGGGGGGACCAGGAGGGCAGGCCAGGTGGACTTCGACTCTGAGTCTAGGTGCCCTCGAGCGCTTTTTTTTTTCCCTCACCCAAGGACATTTTTCCATTTTTTGTACAGATAGAGTGGGAGGGAGAGAGAGGAAGGGAGAGAGAGTGAGACACACCTCGAGCACTTTTTAAATCACGAATTCAGTTTACATTTGTAAGGGCCATGTTGGCTGGCTGTGGGTGTGGGCAGGAGGAAGGGAGCCATTAGGGTATGAGAAGAGGCTGGGAGATATGCTCCAGCGTGGGGCAGGGGCCACCGAAGGACGCTGGTGTCCCCTGCTGCTGGGGAGAGACCAGGTGTGGGACAACTGGGGGAGGAAGCAGGTTCTGTTTGGGACACAGTATTTCTGAGAAGCTCAAACCTGCAGGCAGAGGAGTCCTTCCTGAGGGGAAGTTCTAGCAGGATGCCTGAGAGACTTAGATAAGACTTCAACTGAGACCTAAAGGATGAGGTGGGGGGAGAACGTAGGCAGCCTTGGAGCCAAGGAAGGGGGAGGGGGCTGGAGGGGCAAGAGGAAGGTCCAGAGGGAAGAGGAAGAGGCTGGGCTGACAGCTGAGGCAGCCTCTTGCGAGCCTCCGTCCGGCACTGAGGGAACCAGCTCAGGTGGAAGGAAGGAATCAGGATGTCCTGTTTCCTCCCTCACCTGCAGCCAGCCCAAGGGGTTCCTGGAGGGAGTTCCCGAGGTCCCCTCTTGCCTAGGACAGGCGCATGCTCTAGAGCAGCGAGCTTGGGTCCTGAGGGGAGTGGAAGTCCCAAGGAAAGAACAGCCCCAGGGGGAGGCTCTGGGTACTGACAGACCCTCTTAGGTGTGTCCCAGGTGTTCAAAGGGACCAGCTCCTGCCCCTCCCGCGTCCTGCCCTCAGCCCTGTAATTACGGTGCTTCCCCACGCCTAGTTGCTCCCATTCCTTGGCTTCCAGTGGCTTGGAGGAATGGAAGGTGGACATCCCCATGACTGCTGATGACAGGAGGGCACTGATTGCTGCAGGGTGTGTGAGCAGGATGTGAAAATGGGTGGGGTGACCACGGTCCAGGTCACCAACAGGGCCTGGTTGTCTGGGTCCTGAGCTGGGGACTAAAACGAGGGATGTCAGCCTCAGAGGTTACACCTCAGCTATGGGCTTCCAAACGGGTTTGACCAGTTGGGTTCTGATGGGATTCCTTCTGTCACTGGGCTGGCCCCTCCCCGGAGATTAGCCTCCTCCCTCCCTTCTCCCCTATAAAGCCTGCTGCGGTTCCCAGGCACCCAGGCTCAGCCCACCCCTGACTTTGGGGGCCAGGAGACAGCCATGATGCTCAACTGGAAGCTTCTGGGGATCCTGGTCCTCTGCCTGTACACTGGAGGTGAGCTGGGGATAGAGGCCAGGGTGCAATTTGGGGTGATGGGGGAAGGTCAGGGTGAGAAGGTGACCACCGAGAAGGAGGGGTGAATCGGATGCATAGCACTGGAGGAGGTTCTGGGAATTCGCATGAGGGAAGAGTTGAAGGGATGTGAGGGGTGCATGTAGTTGAACACGCCTTGCTGGCTGGGAGGGGGCTCCATGTGGCATTTAGTCAGAACCCAGATGTTCAGAGCTGAGGTCTCTGTGGAGGAGGGTGGAGGTCATGGGGTACCACATGGGGCCAAGGTGTAGACCATTTGGGGGCTGCAGACCAACACGGGCCATGCCAGTGGAGTGACCCAGTCAGGGTTGGATGGAGCTCATGTGAGGGTCCTCTCAGTTTAAAGATCAAGTTAATGGCTTGGGACAGAGTTTTCATGTCATTTTAAGATCACTTTGGTGTTTGGTGAATGTGTGGGGAGTTACTTCTGAGGTCTGTCTGTGGAGTTAGCTCCGGCTGTAATCCATCCCAGACAGGCTGTGCCCTCGGGTCTGTAGCTGGCTGGGGGCTGGATCTGGCCCTCACCCGCTCTTCCTTTCTCCTTCCTCCTCTATAGGCATCTCAGGCAGTGGAGACCAGCTGTCTTCCCCACCCACAGAGGCTGGACAGGAGGAGGGCTCCCCAGCTTTGCCTCAGGGCGCACCAATCCCTGGTCACCCCTGGCCAGGGGCTCCCCCTATTTTTGAGGACCCCCCACCTCCAAGCCCCAATCGTCCCTGGAGAGATGTGCCTGAATCTGGAGTCTGGCCACCTGAGCCTCCTAGAACTGATCCTCCTCAACCTCCCCGGCCTGATGACCCCTGGCCAGCAGGACCCCAGCCTCCAGAAAACCCCTGGCCACCTGCCCCTGAGGTGGACCACAGGCCTCAGGAGGAGCCAGACCTTGATCCACCCCAGGAAGAGTACAGATAACTGATCTCCCAGACGCCCCCACCCAAGCCCATCTCTACTTTCTGATTCCCCTGAATTCTCCCCAAATTTATCCTAACTCTGTAATTCCCTTTCTCACTCCCTCAATTGCATTCTCAGCCCTGAAGATGAGTCCTCAATATTTTCTGTCCCCTCCTGAGATCCATATTTAGCTCCCACATTTCCCCCCTTTTTTCTCTGACAGCACAGGCATATCCCCTACCTCAGGCCGGGCTCTCCCCCTTTCCTCCACCTCCTGCCCACTGGGGGCTCCCGGTTCCTCTGGCCTCTCATGTTCTCTGCTGCCACCTGGTGGCTAACAGCTGGCAGCTATCAGGGGGCAATGATGCTTCCATGAAATGGAAAAATAAAAACCGTGTTCTCTTCATTTTGAATCCAGGCTGCTTCTTTGCCAGTGATTAGGCCCCTCTTCATACCTACAGAGATCCGAAAGTGACTTGAGTTCCTGGCCGGCCTGTACACATCAGGAGGTAGGGCTCAGTGGCAGGGCAGCTGGAAATGTAGCTTGTCAGGGTTACAACGGCGTTCAGACCCACTTTCACCGCATTCTGGGACCCTGGTTTTGAAGAATGAGAAGCCAAGTTAAGTCTCTCTTCAATAGCTCGCAGTCTTTGCACACCCCTGGCGAGACATGGAAACGTTCCGGGCCTGTGCGCAGAGCCAAGTGTTAAGGGGATCAGTTTTCATAAACGTGTGCTCCTTCCTAAAAGGGGTCTTCTGGAAAACTGTCTTCTCCTTTGCACCTGCCTCCAGTGACGAGTTGCCCTTCTCCCACTAGTCAGGGAAAGGCGAGCTCTCTCACCCACCAGACCCTGGCCAGGGGCTCTTCCTGGAGCCTCCGACTGAAGTCCATGCCATTGAGAGATGCAGTTTCAACAACAGTTTGCTTTTTGTTAATTACAGTCAATATTTGTAGTTTTGATCAACTGTGTTTTATTTTTTAAATTATTATTTTTTTATTATCACCTGAGGACATTTTTACATTTATCTTCAGATAGAGAAGGAGGGAGAGAGGGAGAAAGAGAGAGAGAGAAACATCGATGTGAGAGAGAATATACCCCAACCTGGGCCGAGGACAAACTGCAACTGAGGTACGTGCCCTTAGCAGGAACCAAACCCGGGACTCTCTGGTCCACAGGCTGATGCTCTAACTACTGAGCCAAACCGGCCAGGGCATTTTTTTTTTTAATCCTCACCCGAGGACATTTTTCCATTTTTTATTCAGATAGGGTGGGAGGGGGAGAGAGAGAGAAAAACATTGATTTGTTGTTCCACTTAGTTATGCATTCACTGGTTGCTTCTTGTGTGTGTCCTGACTAGGGATACAACCTGAAACCTTGGTGTATCAGGAGATGGCTCCAACCACATGAGCCCTGGCGGAGTAGTTCAGTTGGTTGGAACACTATCCCAGCCACCAAAGGGTTTCAGGTTCGATCCCCAGTCTGGAGCACTGGGGAGACAACTGATCGATATTTCCCTCTCATATTGATGTTTTCTCTCTCTCTCTTTCTAAAATCAATTCAAAAACATACCCTCCGGTGAGGATTTAAAAAACATCTTTAAGGGAGTATTTGAGCAGGAAAGTTCAAAGGACAGGAGCCCAGAGATCTCAGTGGGCTGCCAATCCTGTGGCTGACCAGGTTGGGGGTTGAATAGGGGCTAAAAGATACTGAGGGCTCGTGACCTTCAAATTCAACCTTTAGGACCCAGTTTATGTGGTAACTCCCATCAAAACCTGTAAGTGACAGATTTCCGGTCAAGATGGTGCATAGGTAAACACGGTACCACGTCCTCCCACAACCACATCAAAGTTACAACTAAACTACAGAACAACCATCATTCAAAACCGCTGGAAATCGAGCTGAATGGAACTCCTGCAACTACGGAATTAAAGCAGCAGCCGCATCGAGACTGGTAGGAGGGCGGAGGCACGAGGGGCAGAGTAGCGCCGGGCTGGTCACACACCCACGTGTGGCGGATAAAAATCAGGAGGACACCTCGGCTGGGAAGGTCCAGCCTGAGGACTGAGGGGTCCCCGTCCCACACCAGGTGCCCAGCTCAGGGTTCCAGTGCCAGGAAGAGAATCCCCATCACTTCTGGCTGGAAAAACCAGCGGGAACTGAGGCTCAGGAAGGCTGAGGCGGCTGGAGCCCCAGGCAGCTCCTCTTAAAGGGCCTGCGCACAGACTTATGAGACTCACTCCCTCTAAGCTTGGAGGGGAGGCAGCTCGAGGGGCACCAGAAACATACAGGGAAGAACTGAGCTAGATGGGAGGGGGGTTGGGGGAATGGGTGAAAAAGGTGAAGGGATTAAGAAATACAAATGGGTTGCTAGACTGACAAACCTCAAAGGGAAAAGGGGTTGGGGTGGGAAGAAATAAACCAAAGAACTTATATGCATAACCAATGGACACAGACAACAGTGTGGGGAAAGGCAGGAGGTGGGGACGGGAGTGGGGAGGAGGAAGTCAACGAGGAAAAAATGAGGAACATTTGTGATATGTTCAAGAATAAAGATTAAAAAACAAAAAACAAAAACTTGTAAGTGACCAGTGTGAAAAAACAAGAACAAACAAACCCCAAGTTTAGAGTTCAGAAATAATCTTGGAACACATAAGAATTTAGTCCTGCTGTGTGTCTCAGTGGTTGAGTGTCGACCCATGCACTAAGAGGTCGCGGGTTCGATACCCAGTCAGGACACATGCCCAGGTTGTGGGCCTGCTCCCCAGTGGGGGGCATCTAGGAGGCGGCCAGTCAATCAATGTTCTCTCCTATCGATGTTTCAATTTCTCTCTCCCTCTCACTTCCTCTCTCTGCAAAATTAATAAAGGAAAAAAAAAAAAAAAAGAATTTAATAGGTTTAAAGTGGTCTGGGTTCTCCATTCATTTCGTCAGTCATTATCTTAAACCCTTAATGTGTCCATCAATGCCGGAAGCCCTGGGAGAATATAAAGAATAAAATCATACAGTTCCCAGTCTCAGGAAGCTTAAAATTAAACTGAGGGAGACAAAATTTACATGCAAAATTGACAACGTCAAAGACATTAGGGATGGGTGGAACTAAATGATTCCAGGAGGAAGCACCAGAGAATAGCCCTGGCAGTCAGTGCCCTGAGTTCTAGTGAGAGTCAAGGGGAGGGAGCTGGAGCAGTCAGGGGAGGCTTCCAGGAGGAGGACTCCTCAGAGGGGCAGGCTGTGGAGGGAGGCCGGGGAGGACTGGTCTGCCGGCGTGGGAGGGGCAGCCCCCCACACCGCCCCACGCCGCCACAGGCTGGGCTCTGCGCTGGTCCTGCTGCCTGGCTGCCTAGACTGACTCCCCCCTGCCTGGCCACCGCACTGGGTGCAGCCGTGCCTGGAACTACAATTCATTCCTGGCCAACCCCACTCAGCCTCTTGGGGGCAGAGACTTCTACATGTTTCTTCTGGGACCCTTCGCCATTGGAGTGCCTACTGACTCCCAGTGTACTGTCACCTCTGTGGCTGCAGGGACTTTACCAGGTGCAAGGGGTGCTGGAAACACCTGGAAATGTGTCTCCACTACCCCCACCCCCACCCCAACCCTAAATGAACCGACAAATATGGGGTATCAGTACACTAGTTCTCTGAATCCGGGTTTTCTCTGTGAGGTTTTGCTTGGCCTTCCCTTCCAGGCCCATGTCCCTGAGACAGGCTAGCAGCCAGGACAAGTAGAACAGGGAAACTGAGACACACAGTTTACAGCCATCTAAAACCGTAAAACCCTGTCTCCCCTACCAAGGGCACTTGAGAGTAACTGGTTTGTTTGTGCTTCTCCCCAGTCAGAGGGTAAGCAGCTGAAACCACTCTAGTCAGGGAACCAGAGAGCAGAAATCCCATCAGTGCCATTTGTGCCAACCATATCCAAGGACCGATGAAATCAGGGGAATAAAACTCATTTTGGCTCATCAGCATAAAGATGATGACTATTGAGATCATCCACTAAGATCTCCCCTAAACTCACAGCCTTTAAAACCCTTCAGAAAGGACCCAGGGTCCTGTCCCTCCTGGGAGCATGCCCACACTGTTCCCTCTCAGGCAAGCATCTCCGAAGCAGTAAGGGTCCCCATGAGACTTGCAACCAGGGGAGGAATGGGCATGGCAGGTCATTCCAGACCAGTTTCCTGTCTGGTAACATCCCTACTCCCTTTCCCTTCTCCCCACCCTCATGACTTTTTTTTTTGGTTAATCCTCACTCAAGGATACTCTTTTCATTGATTTTTAGAGTGTGGAAGGGAGGGAGGGAGGGAGAGAGCTGGGGCGGGGAGAGAGAGAGAGAGAGAGAGAGAGAGAGAGAGAGAGATACATTGATGTGAGAGACACACATTGATTGGTTGCCTCCCATACGACGCTGACCGGGGCCAGGGATTGGACCTATAACCCAGTTACAATACCCTTGACTGGGAATCGAACCCAAGACCCTGTGGTGCATGGGCTGATACTCTAACCACTGAGCAACACCGGCTAGGCTGCTACCCTCATCACTTTTTGATATTTTTCTATTTATCTTCAGATAGAATGGGAGGGAGGAAGAAAGAGGGAGAGGGAAAGAGAGAGAAACATCAATGTGAGAGGGACAATCAACTGGCTGCCTCCTGCACACTGGGGTCAAATTGCAACCAAGGTCTGTGCCCTTGACTGGAGTCGAACTCACGACTCATTGGTCTGCAGGCCAAACCAGTCAGGGCTCATCACTCTTTTTTGAAGAACAAGAATTTAATGTTACAGGAAAGCAGATGCTTAGAGTGTGGGCTCTGGCAGAGGGACACTCTGACCCTGGTCTTGGCCAGCAGGCACAGAAGCAGGGAGTGCAGGGCTTGGCAGGCAGGTGTGTAGCCCAGGCGGCTAAGATGCAGGTAATCATTCATGTCATGGTAGCTATGGTACCATCTAAATGCACAAACAGGGTCAGCATCCAGGAAGTGGGCCCGTGGGTGGCCAGCCAACACCGCTGGTACCAGCTCGCTCGGCTGTCGGTGTTTCTCACGAAGTGGGTTAGGGTGCTGGCCTCTGGAAGCAGGCCCAGACCACGACCGGAGCCTGGGGCTGCTGCTGGTTCACCAGCGGCACGACCTGCTCTGCTGTGTGCCCATGGTTGTTCGTACCCACCCGGACCACCAGAGTCCTGGGCGGATGTGTGGGGCGCCCGGTTCTCCAGCCGCCACAGCACGTGCTGCGTGCCATGGCCGCCAATGCCAAAGTTAGGCGTGCAGGGGAGAGGGGGGCTCCCGCCGTGCCTCCACTGTGCATTAGCTGGGCCGAGGAGTCCCCGATGAAGACGACTTCGGGTTCTTTATCTTTGCTGTCAGCTACCAACCGACGGTGCAGGGACATCCA